TAGCCTTAGCATTTAAATCTTTACCTTCTAGCGCATAAGCTAATGCATGCTAGTTAGCATAGGCTACCTTAGTCTGATTAGTATGTGATTCATTGGATTGCTTTTTTTTAATTTGCCCTGTAAACATGCTTATTCTCTATTTTTACTTTATATCCAAACACTTTGAATTACACCCCCCTGTATGAAAGATTGTTTCGGGTTAAGGAGCTAACGTTAATGTACCATTAGTGTCTGAAGATATGTGAGAACATTTTCCTGATGAATAATGAAACTCATTGACCATCAGTGACTGTGTGACTAATACCCAGACAGGTGGTGCATAGGCCTACACACACTTTACTGTTATTTAATCTGAGTGCATCTAACACACACACAGATATCAAATAAGCAGCTGAGATATTAGGTGTGTGAGTGTGTGTGTGTGGATAGCCTATATTACAGAGTAGAGGTGTACAAACTAGAACAGAGAAACATGTGAAGCGTGTGCAAAGCTCTTTAATATTTCATGTTAGTGCACGCTGACGGATGAATGAAAGAAAAGATGGGTGGATGGATGGAGGTCTGTTATGCATCCTGGTGACGTCAGCCTGTAAACTAAAGTCACAATCCTCTGTGGGCCTGCTCTTTAAAGTGTAAGAGAAGGACATCTAGTGTTCAGCTGCTCAAACAACACACAGATTGATAAGTGATGCTTTCCTCTTTGACACAGAAACACAAACTAGGGCTGCGCAATTAATCAAAACTCTTGCAATATCCAAATCGCTGTTCGTGCAATATTTGATAAAGTGGGGTGATACTGAGAAGTGCTGACCAACCATTTTATATAATGGTCACTCTCTCTTATATTGCAAACATATCGCAATATCAGTCAAATGAATTGCAATTTGTTGTTATCTCTTCACTGAATCTGCATATTTTGTGTTATTTAGACACTTATTTCTGCTCATAAAACCTGTAAATGGCAATATTTGTATTTGGAATGTGGTCGAAATGTTCCCAGTATTTTAGAGAATAAAACACAATTGTACATATTATTCTAAAATATACCCAAAAATGTTAAATAGACTGATCATGTAGTAGTGTTTTTCCTCCTGAGCTGTAATACCTAGTGTACTCAGTGTGTTGAATATAGGTCAGACATCATCTGCTCTGCCGATGTTACACACAGGCTGCGGGCGTTATTGATGCTACGGTGGCTGCATGGGGCCAACTGCCACATTTCACAGTTGAACAAACCGGTACGCTGTGTACTATCACATCCACGAGGGCTGTGCTATTTTTAGAACGAAAAAAATCGACTGAAAAATGCAACGCAATTTAAGTATTGAGTGTGGCTGCGACCTTTGAACTCAGCTTTGTCTGTATTCAATTCCTATCACGGGTTACTGACGCCAATAATGACTGATTCATATTGATATAATGCTTTAGTATATACTCACATTACACTCATTGTAGGGAGGTTTTTCTGTAAACTTATGTCAAAGGTGTCATTGTTAGTTGCAAGGGAAATGTCATAATTAAAGAAATGACACAATTGCAAGTAAAAAATGATATTTTGATCAGAGATGGAAACCATTTATTTCTGTATCTGGTAGGGGTGTAACGGTTCACAAACATTTCGGTTCGGTACGTACCTCGGTTTTTTGGTCACGGTTCGGTTCGGTACGTTTTCGGTACAGCAGAATTTTTTTTCACAAAATAAAACATATATATATTTTTTTTATTATTATTAAACTGTGAATAATGTATTCACTCAAATAAATACAAAATATAATAAAATAAACATTAAGGTGCAGCATTTCGATGAACTGAAATAATCTGTATTTGAACTTTAATGTAGGCTACTAGTACTCACAAAACATAAACTATTAGTTTTGGGTTTTTTATTTTTTATTAAACTGTGAATCTTCACTAAAAAAAATATAAAATAAAATAAACATTAAGGTGCAGCTTTTCGATTCACTGAAATAATCTGTATTTGAACTGTACTATACCTAAGCAGCCAGGTTGACATTAGGACTTGCTTGTCATTGTATTTTCATGTTTTTTTAAAGAAAGATGAACTTGTCCACATTGCTTGCCGAAAGGGCAGATCTGCTGGCACTAACAATGTCTCCTGCTGTGGAGAACACCCTCTCTAGGGACAGAGGTAGCCGATACAGCCAGGTAGCGCTTTGCTAACATGGCAACATAAGGATATTTGGTGTTTGTAACAGCTTTGGCTCGGTCTGAACTCTCTGCGAGTGGTGGAGGCTTACATGCTAGCGGGAGTTGGGTTTGCACTTCAGTCTTTTTTTCTTTTGGTACCGGTGATATATTCACGTTCGGGTGATGCCTTTCAAGAGTGTGCTAGCTTGATGTATTGCCAGCCGCGTAACCAATTTTAGTTGAACAATGCCGACAAACAGCTTTGGTTCGGTCCACCTGTCTTTGTCCTTCATCCTTGTACGTAACTGCGAAACCAAAATGTTCTCAAACCGGAGACTTCAATGATGCTGGAGGATTTTCGAGCTCAACTTTATCTGCGTTCGCCATTAATTTTCGACAGTTCCTCAAATTACTGACTACATTTGAACGCATCCCTCTGACCAGCTCTCATAGTATGCCTCTCATCCAATAGACCTATCGCTAAGCCACGCCCCCTTTGAAAACTCGGACAAACAAAGCCGACCGTGAATGACTCTTGACAATGGCCGCGGGGGGAGTTCAAGTTAAAATAACATTAAAATAGAAGCAAGAGCTAATAAAAGCAACAGCAGATGAAAGTTAACAGTTAAAAGGTAAAAAGGTAGCCATGTATTTCTTTATATAAAATATCTAATCTTGTTGCCTGTCGTGTGTAGTGGTGACTGTTGTGTAACCATTGAAATGATAATATGATGTTGAATGTTAGCAGTGGTGGTCACTACATTAAATCTATAACTATAACTGTCCTTGTTGGTCATCATTTTCACTGTTATGCACCTGGCTGACTGTAGCGTTACCTTTTTTTGGGTGAGGGTCTGTGTCTTTTCGGAGCAGCACACACGAGAGCCCGGATGGGATCTGATATTCCAGAGTTGGCTTCCCATCTCTGAAGTGCTTTGAGGTGAAAAGACAGTTAGCAAAAGTTAGCTAAAAACACCAGCTAACTAGCGAGGACGAAAAGTCAGACAGCAAACGTTGATGTTGATAACACTGTAGCTAGTTAGCTGGCTAACAAGTTGGCAGCTAACGTTAGCTAGCTGGGCTGGATATACGCTAGCTAGTTGGCAGTCAAAGTCAATCGTTAGCAAACTAATAGTTTGGTCTACGTTTCTAATACATACCGTCAAATATGATGTCTTTATGAATTGACCTTACCTTTGAGCAAACATAAGTGTCCTTGATAATTGTCTTCACATTCAGTTGTGTATGTGGTTGACGACACAGCATAATCCACCGCTTGCATTTGTCGAGTTTTCTTTTGGGCTTCGGAAAAGGTACGAAATATACTCCTCCATCCAGTCTTTCAGGGTACCTGGTGTCCGAAATTACAGGTACCCCACGCACAGCGTTTCACCATCAGATATTAGCTAGATAATAAACATAGAAACTGAACTCTTCACAGTGGTTTCGATCACAGACGTCTGGTTTTGGTTTGATGCGCCCCACAAACAGCTTTTCTGGTGATGTCCGAGTTTTCTGTCAGGAGGGATTTTCGCTGTGATATGATTGGACAAATTCTATTTGGGGCGTGGTTTAGCGATAGGTCTATTAAATGACTTGCTCGCTCTATGACGCGTTGAACCCAATGTGAGCAAATTACTCTGAATGCTGCGACGCAGCACCTGAGATTACTTCCAAAAAGTTGTTCACGTTCTCAATTTTTTACGTTTAACGTTATATTCGTTCGGTACACTTCGGTACACACCTGTACCGAACCGAAGGGCCCGTACCGAATAATTTCGGTACGGGTACGTGTACCGTTACACCCCTAGTATCTGGCTGATATTGTTGTTATTGTTTGTAAATGTTCTCTGATTGGTAATTGAATATGTCTGATAAGCTTTGTTGTAAAAGAATATTTGAGATATGGTGGTCAATGTTGTAGTTTGGTACTAACTTAAATAAGTAAAACAGAAACCAAAATATCTCTTTGTGCTCGTTTCACAAGTTTTAAAGCTGCACTTATATACTTTCTAACATTCTGCGTATAATGTGACACAAACTGCACTTCCCCTCATTTTTACAGCACAGAAAATAAGAAATCCTTTAGTAAATAAATAAACATTTTAAAATGTGTTGTCATGCTGTTGAAAGAATATGTCTGTTGTCTTTAAATGTGTTGCTATCTATCTAAAAGGCACTAACTGTCAGTACGTCTGAGTGAGATTGAGTTAATTTGGTAGTCTCTGTATGGTTTTTATTTTAAAGGGGACCTGTCATGCAAAATGCACTTCCTGATGTATTTTATACATAAACATGTGTCCCCGGTGTGTCGGGGAACTCAAGCAGCGTCAGAAAATAAAACCCTCTCTCTTTTCCTCCGTACCCAAATCTCTAAAAACGGGGAACAACGGAGCTGATCCAGATTTGCGTCCGATATGACGTAATATCTGAAAGGTGGACCCACGGCCCAATCAGAAACGTTGCTATCAGAAACAATGCCCGACTGTTTTGGACGTAATATGGTCGGTGTTTACATTAGCATCGCTAACACTCAGAGCTAACCTGTACTGGAGAGCATGTGTGTGAAGAAGCAGGAAGTAAAAAGGAACTCACCTTGTGGTATAACCGGCAAGAGAGAAAGCCTTTGAGCTCCAGACTGTTTCAGAGAGAATCCTTGATAATCCATGATATGGCGTTTCATCACGGCAGCATTTAGTTTAGACGGTAGCTGCCGGGTCCCGCGTGAGCTCAGCCCCCTACTCTTTTTTATCAATGTATTATTTTTTAAAGCTTTATACCCAAATCAGCACTTTTGAAACAGGAAGTGAAACAGAGGGATATGAGGCATGGCTAGAATGGGTGATCTGTTTGGTATTTTGAGCAAAACACTTCATAGACATGTTTTTTTATATATCTGAGACCTATGCTATTGCCTACAAATAGCATGATAGGTGCCCTTTAATAACAAAAGCTCAAAGTCTTTAATACATAATCTGGTTTTCGAGGTGAACTCATACTGCGCATTGGGATGTATTCTTAACAACCACAAAAACAATATGATGAACTGTGCCAGGAAAACAAGACAAGAGGAATTTGTTTAACAAATAAAAATGGAATAAATCACCCTGATTAAAAAAGGTCGCACCAAAACAAGTAAATGTCATCACCTTGCACATGACCGCAGCAGTGTTCCTGTGAACGCCAGCCACTGTCCATTGTCCTGCAGAGGCCCCATGGCTCGTATTATTTGCATGTTTTACGATCTGATCTGTTTGTGCACGCTGTTTACATCATTTCACCCTGAGTCACATCCAGAGGCGCCTGTGTTGAAGCTTCTAATGTCGACGATGGAAATATAACTTTTAGATGAGACTATTTTGCAATGCCTCGGATTAGTTGTTGTGTTTTAAATCATTTTGAGAAGACTGAAATGTTTGACATCATCCAGCTTTCTGTTTCCCTGAGCAGATGATTCGAAACTAGGCTTTTGAAACCTACTCCAGAAGGACTCCAACCTGGATTCAGATGCTTGTTTCCATGTTTTCCATTTAATTTGAGGATTCAGTGTGGGTAGAACTACTTTCAAAACCACCTTGTTTCAGGTCTTTAGTCCAGGATGAACCAGGACCAGGTGATTCTTCAGACTTTCTCTCAGACTCCGAGCATCGGGAAGAACACGAGCGTCACTTTAATGCCTCAACAAGAGCAGCAGCAGGATTTTGAACATGGCTTCCAGCCTGGGGACCACGAATCCCAAAAGGCCTTCATTGAGTTTCGCATCAAGCAGCTCCACAACAGACGCTTCATGCTGCTGGAGATGCAGCGCTTCAGGAAGAAGGACGATGGCGTCTCCACCGCAGGGGAACGTGAGTCATGAATCCACACGAATAAGCACAAATAATTCCCAAATGATCCTGTTTGGTGATTGACAGCTGCTGCATTGCTTTGAGAATGGTTTGTGTGTCTTTTGTATTCATCAACGTTGAGGCGTGTTTACTGTGTTCAAATATTAAAGAAAGGCAAAAGTCAAATTTAAATGTAAGAAAAGCTGAGCGCTTACTTTTAACCACATGGTTTCACTTCTCAATAAATGACTGTTTGAATGGCACAAGACGCCTGCGCTAACTTGTCCATTTCATATCCTTTATTCAAATTAAGTTAATTTTATAGGAATATTTCCTTTAATCATTTCATTCATCAGCATTTGTTCTTTAAAAGTATTTTTTCTTTTAAATAGCGTTCATGTGACCTAACGATGGCACATATTTCAATATATGTCTGATCTAAAATTAGAAAAAAACACAAAAATCTAACTCAAAGAGGCGTGTCTTATTGATCCAGTATAGTCATACAATGCTACATTCATTTGGGGTCATTAGGTCACCAAATATGGAAGCTGTTGAAGGAAAAAGAGAATGTTCAATAAAAAAAATGCTGCATTTGTAATCAAATATTCATGAAGAATTGGAAAAGAAACAATAGAATCTAATTTAAAGATGTGTGCCCTCTCGTCTGAGGTAATGCTCAGCTATAGATCTGTTTAATGTGTGTAAACCTGTGTGTGTGGTGGGGTTAGTGCCCTGTGAGGACAGCGACCAGCTGTGTGAGCTGGAGAACATCCGGAGGGAGCTGGAGCAGCTGCTGGCCAAGAAGGAGGAGCTGGAGAGACAGAAGAATGCCTCCGAGCCCTCAGCTAACAGAGGCACGTTACCCTTCACTCTGATTACAGCTTTAGTAGGAAAATGCATTAAATGAATGCACACAATAGCCGCGTTCACACCAAGTACTCTGCCGTACTTAGTTCCCAGCACTTAGTTCCCAGCACTTAGTTCCCCTATGGAACCAACTAAGTGCCGATCGCATTCACACCGGAATAAGTTCCCCGAGGGAGGATTAGGCAAATTAAGCCGCTGACGTCACTTCTTCTTCTTCTGCTTTGGGTTTACTGGCAGGCCGTAAACCACTTCACGGCGTATACTGCCACCCGGAGTCCCCGGCTGGAAGTCCCCGGAGTTGGGGACTGGCTTCAGTCGAAGCTGCTGGGACTCCCAGCTGCTTCTACTGAAGCCTTCCGAGTAAATCGCCTGAACGCCGACACCTCCTCATCTCCACCGCTCCCATGTTTTATTTTGTGTTGCCATAAGTTATTCTCTCTGCGTTGGTGCGCTGGGCTAATGCTAATGCTAATAATGCTAATGCGAGGATAATAAAATGGCGGCTCTACAAAACATACTGGCCAATCAGAACTGTGGTACTTTTTTCCCCAGGAAAGTACGCTAAAAATGGGGTGAAAAGTTCCCGGCACGTTATTTTTTTGGTGTGAACGCGACATCAGGGGTACTAACGGAACTAAACGCGAAAAGTACGGGTGAAAAGTACTCGGTGTACTATGGCTATGTTTTCTTTTTTTATTACTGCCACATTTTATTCCATGTTTTATTCCATTCTATTTCTATGTAAATACTGCTATATTTTACTATATTTGTTATTCTTTTTTATATTTGTTCATGTTATTATAGTTTTCGTAAAATAGTTCTTTTAATTTTACCTTTATGTATGCACCATGACACTAACTCAAATTCCTCGTACGTGTGAACCTACCTGGTAATAAACCTGTTTCTGATTCTGAAAATGTACTCGAACAGTACTGCCATTTTAAAGCAGCTATGATTAACTTCTTAACTTAGTAATGGCATCCCAGCTTCCTGTGCAAATAGTTTATTTTATGCTTTTAGTTGCAACAGTTGAATGTTTTCGTGTATTCAGTACCTACGTCTCATTCTAGTAAACGCAGTATGCTCAAAGTTGTTACCAACTCTTGAATCAGGCGAGATTTGCCACCTCTGCCTCACCGGTACGGAGCCAACACACAAACATGTTCTGCTGTTAACAACATTTTTAAGTGAGTGGTCTGACTGAAATGTCTTAATCAGGCCCATGTGCCCCTTCTTATAACACTAAGGGTCCCCGTGGGGGGATCTACATGCTGCCCCCCCCCCAGCTGGAGAAGGAGGAAGTGGCTCCGGAGCCTGTTACAGAAACACCAGCAAACCCAGTGGTTCCAGGTAGAACACACACACACACACACACACACACACACACACACACACACACACATACACACATACACACACACACACATCACTTCAGGGGACATTGCATTGACTTACATGCATTTTCTGGAGACTTATCCTAACCCTTACCCTAACCAAGTCTTCACCCTAAAATTAATGATTCCCCTCATGGGGACCTCCAATTTGTCCCCATAAGGGAAGCCAGTCCCCACACGTGACTATGTAAACAGATGTAGGTCCCCACAAGTAGAGTAATGCTAGCACACACACACACACACACACACACACACACACACACACCACACACACACACACACACACACACACACACACACACACAGCACACACACACACACACACACACACACACACACACAACACACACACACCACACACACACACACACACACACACACACACACACACACACACACACACACACACACACACACACACACACACACACACACCACACACACACACACACACACACACACACACACACACACACACACACACACACACACACACACACACACACACACACACACACGAAGAATGTAATGTTTATATACCATACTATGAATGTTTTTTCAACCTGTCGTTTTTCCTGATATTTTCTATCCCATTCTAAATGATGTCTTGTTATGCCATTCTTCTTCCTGTATTTCTTCGGTCAGTGGAGTGTCTTTGCCAAACCCCGGAGCAGACGAGGTGTCCATGCTGTGGGGAGGTCGTCCTCACAGAGACCCACAGCAGGGTGGGCGAAGCTAGCTGGATCATTTGCTGCACGTGCGCCATGTTAGGGTGCGTGTTTTCAGTTGTAGACATGTTTTAAAGGTCTCCTATTACGCAAAGTCCACTTCTTCATGTCTCTTCTACATCAGCATGTGTCCCCTCTTCTTCATGTCTCTTCTACATCAACATGTGTCCCCTCTTCTTCATGTCTCTTCTACAGCAACATGTGTCCCCTCTTCTTCATGTCTCTTCTACATCAACATGTGTCCCCTCTTCTTCATGTCTCTTCTACAGCAACATGTGTCCCCTCTTCTTCATGTCTCTTCTACAGCAACATGTGTCCCCTTTTCTTCATGTCTCTCCTACATCAACATGTGTCCCCTTTTCTTCATGTCTCTCCTACATCAACATGTGTCCCCTCTTCTTCATGTCTCTTCTACAGCAACATGTGTCCCCTCTTCTTCATGTCTCTTCTACAGCAACATGTGTCCCCTTTTCTTCATGTCTCTCCTACATCAACATGTGTCCCCTTTTCTTCATGTCTCTCCTACATCAACATGTGTCCCCTTTTCTTCATGTCTCTCCTACATCAACATGTGTCCCCTTTTCTTCATGTCTCTCCTACATCAACATGTGTCCCCTTTTCTTCATGTCTCTCCTACATCAACATGTGTCCCCTCTTCTTCATGTCTCTTCTACATCAACATGTGTCCCCTCTTCTTCATGTCTCTCCTACATCAACATGTGTCCCCTCTTCTCCATGTCTCTTCTACATCAACATGTGTCCCCTCTTCTCCATGTCTCTTCTACATCAGCATGTGTCCCCTCTTCTTCATGTCTCTTCTGCATCAACATGTGTCCCCTCTTCTCCATGTCTCTTCTACATCAACATGTGTCCCCTCTTCTTCATGTCTCTTCTTCATCAACATGTGTCCCCTCTTCTTCATGTCTCTTCCACATCAACATGTGTCCCCTCTTCTTCATGTCTCTTCTACATCAACATGTGTCCCCTCTTCTTCATGTCTCTTCTACATCAACATGTGTCCCCTCTTCTTCATGTCTCTTCTACATCAACATGTGTCCCCTCTTCTCCATGTCTCTTCTACATCAGCATGTGTCCCCTCTTCTTCATGTCTCTTCTGCATCAACATGTGTCCCCTCTTCTCCATGTCTCTTCTACATCAACATGTGTCCCTCTTTCTTCATGTCTCTTCTACATCAACATGTGTCCCCTCTTCTTCATGTCTCTTCTACATCAACATGTGTCCCCTCTTCTTCATGTCTCTTCTACATCAACATGTGTCCCCTCTTCTTCATGTCTCTTCTACATCAACATGTGGCTCCCTCTTCTTCATAGTCTCTCACTACAGCAACATGTGTCCCCTCTTCTCCATAGTCTCTTCCTACATCAACATGTGTCCCCCTCTTCTCCATGTCTATCTTCTACCATCAAGCAGGTGATCCCCCTCTTCCTTCATGTCTCTTCATGCATCAACATGTGTCCCCTCTCTCTCCATGTCTCTTCTTACATCCAACATGTGTCCCCTTCTTCTTCATGTCCTCTTCTTCAGTCAACATGGTGGTCCCCTCTTCTTCAATGTCCTCTTCCCACATGCACATGTGTACCCCACTCTTCTTCATGTCCTCTTCTACATCAACCATGTGTCCCCTCTTCTTCATGTCCTCTTCTACATCACATTGTGGTCCCCGCTTCTTCATGTCTCTTCTACAATCAACATAGTGGTTCCCATCTGTTCTCCATGATCTCTTCCTACAATCAGCATGTGTCCCCTCTTCTTCATAGTCTCTTCTACATCAACATGTGTCCACCTTTTCTTCATGTCCTCGCCTACATCAACATGTGTCCCTCTTCTTCATGTCTCTTCTACATCAACATGTGTCCCCTCTTCTTCATGTCTCTCCTACATCAAACATGTGTCCCCTCTTCTCCATGTCTCTTCTACATCACATGTGTCCCCTCTTCTTCATGTCTCTTCTGCATCAACATGTGTCCCCTCTTCTCCATGTTCTCTTCTACATCAACATGGTGTCCCCTCTTCTTCATGTCTCTTCTTCATCAACATGTGTCCCCTCTTCTTCATGTCTCTTCCACATCAACATGTGTCCCCTCTTCTTCATGTCTCTTCTACATCAACATGTGTCCCCTCTTCTTCATGTCTCTTCTGCATCAACATGTGTCCCCTCTTCTCCATGTCTCTTCTACATCAACATGTGTCCCCTCTTCTTCATGTCTCTTCTACATCAACATGTGTCCCCTCTTCTTCATGTCTCTTCTACATCAAACATGTGTCCCCTCTTCTTCATGTCTCTTCTACATCAACAGGTCCCTCTTCTTCATGTCTCTTCTACATCAACATGTGTCCCCTCTTCTTCATTCTCTTCTACATCAAACATGTGTCCCCTCTTCTTCATGTCTCTTCTACATCAACATGTGTCCCCTCTTCTTCATGTCTCTCCTACATCCCTGAATGTGTCCCCTCTTCTCATGTCTCTTCTACATCAACATGTGTCCCCTCTTCTCCATGTCTCTTCTACATCAGCATGTGTCCCCTCTTCTTCATGTCCTCTTCTGCATCAACATGTGTCCCCTCGTCTCAATGGTCTCTTCTACATCAACATGTTCCCTCTCTTCATGTCTCTTCTTCAATCAACATGTGTCCCCTCTTCTTCATGTCTCTTCCACATCAACATGTGTCCCCCTCTTCTCATGTCCTCTTCACATCACATGTGTCCCCTCTTCTTCATGTCTCTTCTACATCAACATGTGTCCCCTCTTCTTCATGTCTCTTCTACATCAACATGTGTCCCCTCTTCTCCATGTCTCTTCGACAATCAGCATGTGGTCCCCTCTTCTTCAGGTCTCTTCTACATCAACATGTGTCCCCTCTTCTCCATGTCTCTTCTACATCAACATGTGTCCCCTCTGTGGAAAGAGACTCTGAAAGTTTCAGGAACAAAGATTCTCTCTCTTTTTGATCCATTTCTATAAAAACCTGTCTGAAAATGAGCTCATCAGATTTTGGCCACTTTATGATGTCATAACGATTTGTTGTCTGTGTAACCATTAGCCAATCAGCAACCAAGGTAACCCCCCCCCCCCCTTATCACCTGAATCTCCTCCTAGAGCACCATTGTGTTCTTTGTAACCAAATGTCTCTCAGAGGGGCGTGGGGGAGGGGCTCCTTATTTTTCATCTAAAGTAACAGACAGAGAATCAGCACTTTGGAAACAGGGCTGAAACAGAGGGGATTATGGGTAATGCTGCAATGATCTATTTGGAGCCAAACACTTCAGAGACATGTTTTGAATGTATCTGAGACCTGTAATATATTGATGAAAAACAGTATAATAGGGGACCTTTAAAGACCAGTAGTCATTGCAGAGCTTTCCTGTTGCAAAGATAGACCTTTGATCTTCCCCCGTTACTTCTCTTCCTTCCACAGGGGTGTGTTTGGCTGCTGTCTCATCCCTTTCTTCAACGACCGGTTCAAGAACGTGCAACACGTGTGTCCCCGCTGCCAGGCAAAGATACACACCTACGAGCCAATATGACACGAAGGATACTTAATAACAGCACTGGTGTGATCCGTACAGTGAAATCACGAAGTTCTGTGCTTGAGTGAGGACGTCCAAGAGTTTTTGGAGCTGTCTGGGACACCACTATTTAGCATATTCAGGCTTTACTTCCTGGGTTGAACTTCAGTGCTGGCAGAAAACTCCAGAGGCTCAGATAACTTAAGGAAAACGCCCTGACTTTCTGTGTTTGTTTCACACGCCTGCCTACCAGGATCTCTGCAGAGCAAGGACTTAAATCTCTAAGCTTGCCAATGCAAAGGACACTTTACTGATGTGTGGACGAGTTGAGGGATGTTTTTAAGGGGGAATTAGATCAAGTACTTATTCATAATCAATGTGTTCGCTACAGTAGATGATGCACTTTAATACTTCTCTAAGCTCGCAACAACTACCATTCAAAGCACTGCACGCAACATGTGTTTCGTAAAGCAGGAAATTGCTCTTCTTCTGTGGTGGGAATCCTGTTTTCTTCCACCAAACTGATGGAGGTGAAAAGCTGCATATGATCACATTGCAAAACCCCTTAACCCTCTGAGACCCACATAGGACATTTCCGTGTTTGTATATTTTTGTGTTTGGCCTTATAAATTGTAATTTCTTTACAGTATAATCAAGTTTTACACATCCCAGAAATCAGCATAACTTCAGCTAATGATATATGTCACTCATAAGAGACTTATATACACTATAATAGGGGATATTTGAGCATTAAAAAAAAAAAAAAAGGAGCTTGAATTTTTTACTTATTTCTTTGAAAATAACTGCTAAACATAACATTGAAAGAAACATTCAACACAGAAAATTGCACACATTTTATCATCGAAATAAGTAAACGCCTCAATGAATAGCCGTTTCTGTAGTTTAAGAGAAGCACGGCATGTCTCACGTGATATTTGGGATCGTATACGGCCCCCCGTGGGTCTCAAAGGGTTAATGTGACCTCCAAACAAGTTCAAGGTGCTTCTACTGCTGATATTAGGATTTCTATCTAGGATCCCAGTGTGCCGTCAACTAATTACCTTTATGAGCGCTTTCCTCAGTATAGGGAAATATATCTGGGAACATTCGTTATCTCAGACGTAAATAGAAATGCTTTGATGGATATATGCAAACACGTATTTGTGTTTCATCCATCCTGACAAAGAACTGTTTTCATGCACAGCTGTAACACAATTTAAATGTTGTGGCTTCTTCTCATGCATATTTGCTCTCGCTGCTGGGTATACGAAATATTATGTATGAACTATTATGTCATTAACGTCTACAGAGGCGGTCACAGTACACCACATTTTATTGACTCGTAAAGGCATACAGTACTTATATATACATCTTTTTGAGTATGTACAAAATAGAGAACCCATGGATGTTACACATGTAGAAAAATATGCATTACATCTATATAAATATGTACACAATGTGCAAAACATATGGCATACAAACAACAAGAGGCATGGCATGGGTGAGGAGGTGGAGAGGAGACGTTGCTACGATGGAATTGTCCCCAAAATAAATGGATTTTTACTAAAACGTCTCTTCTTGTCTGACTAGCTTTACACCAACAATAGGTTTACATTGTGATGAACGGTGCAGGAGAAACAGGAAACTATGAAGCTTCTAAACTAAGAGGGTTATTGGACAAACCACTCGGGTATTAAGTGCTTTTTAAAAGATCAAATCAAGGCAGGATCTGACATGCAGTACAGTATAAAAAGGGAGAGCAGCCATTATTGCTTCTAGCCCTCTCTGTATGGAAAGTGGTGTCACAAACTAAATCTTCCCCAGCCAAGATGTTCGTCTGATATGAATGAAATCAACTCTGCAAACCCAAAATAAAGCCTCTTTACACAAAACAAGATACACGTCTACATTTTCACCCTGAAAAAAAAGAAGTGATAATTATTACACAAACGTGTGATAATATGTTCCTCTGCCTTTTTTTGGCAACTAAATATCAAATGTGACAGCTGTAAAAAGTGACTTCAAATACTTCATCTCTTCTACGACACAGGAACCAATGAGTGATTCTTACTCGTCATCCTGTGTAGGATTTACATCTCGCATTAATGGGAATAAAAAAGAAACCTGCAGTCAGCTAAACCTGGGTCCAAACATCAGGCGATAGGTCCGCTCTGAACGAGTCGCTTTAACACAACATTTGTAGAAAACAAACAAACAACAAAGCCCAGGAAGCAGTTTTGTGAAGTATTTGATCTTTCTCAGGTGGTTAAATGATGTGGATTTGATGATGGATTCTGCAGCAGTAAGAGCATCAAATCCGCAATACAAAAGGCAGAAAATACATTGATTTAAAATGTAATAAAACAGCCTGATGTGACTCTACTTCCTGCCAGAAATGACCCTGAAAATGTGCCACACCAGAGGAGAGGCAGCGCCCTCTAGTGCCCGTGGACATGACTGATTGAAGAGGTTAAAATGGACTGGAAATGTGATTTAAAGCGTTAAAAAAAAGGACAATTTATGAACTAAATCTGATTTAAAAGTGCTATACAGTAAGCATAAATCCTAAAAATAATATCCTAAAACGAAATATTCCTTACTTGAGAGATAAAATAGCAAGTTGGATGTTTAAAAAAAAAAATACAATTATTACGGCTTTAAAAGTAGCTAAGCCCTCTTGGTTGTGTATTACACCTCAAAGGTGTGTGTGTGCGTCTGCAGGACACCGAACAACACACAGATAAAAACAGTCATCAGAAGCCGATGTGGAGAGAAGTTTGGAATATCTTTCTTTTTTTGGATATAGCAAATTATTTCATTTCATAGATATTAGCTCTTTTATCTTCAGACAACTTGTGGGCGACGCGAGAACAATCATGCACACAGAGACAGGAGGATATGCAGAAGGCGGGAAGACAAGCACACACACACACACACACCATGTATACATCACTTCAGGGGACATTACATTGACTTACATGCATTTCCTGGAGACTTATCCTAACCTTAACCATAACCAACACATGCCTAAACCTAACCCTTAACCTAACCAAGTCTTCACCCTAAAATTAATTATTCCCCTCATGGGGACCTCCATTTTGTCCCCATAAGGGAGGCGAGTCCCCACACCTGACTGTGTAAACAGATGTAGGTCCCCACAAGTATAGTAATGCTAGGACACACACACACACACACACACACACACACACACACACACACACACACACACACACACACACACACACACACACACACACACACACACACACACACACACACACACACACACACACACACACACACACACACACACACACACACACACACACACACACACACACACACACACACACACCACCACACACACACCACACACACACACCACACACACACACACACCACACACACACACACACCACACACACCACACACAGCCCCTAAAGACATTTCTATTCCTTATAACTCGCAGTTTTCACTTCTTCTGGAAGCTTCTCTCCATGGCTGCTGTGGAAAAGTATTTTTATAACCACTTTTCCTCGATAGAAAGCAAGAAAATTACAGGGAAAGAAGCTGGGGAGAGTTCGACTGCTCTTATTTTAGGCTACGTAATTAGGCGATGCATGCTCTTGCTGTCGTTTTGGTTTGGGATGGTCCATTGTACCCTAAGCTAAAAGGGATGAAAAAGGAAGCATTAAAGCTCCTTTCCTTTGAATTTGGACTCAATACTTCCATGTTATTTCACTAAGTTGGCAAATAAAAGACAGTTCGACTGCAGCCGACTCTCATAAACTGATATTTGTTCCCTTTCCACCGTTTCTGTCAGTTCACGAGTAAAAAAAGCTGCCAACTTTGTGAGTGTAGTCCCATTTTGTTTTAAATTACATTCAAAGTTATATACTTGGACACCAACTGCAGTATCTCCGGCTGCGTGATCTTCAGAGATCAGGCGCCCGTGCTCTGAGGTGACGAGGCGCCGTCAGATATCCCTCCGCCTCTTTAAGTGCATAGCTCTCACGTAGTTTGAGGATCCTGCTCCTCGTCGTCAGTCTTTAGAGTCATTGGTTCATCAGGAGAAACTGCAGGAGGAAACAGTCGCATCTGATACACACATCAGATGAGTCCGCACAGTTTGTTGGACCAGTGTGAGCAGAGAAGAGAGAGAGAGAAAAAAAGGTCCAGCTCCTAAGATTCAGACCGGTTTAGTCCAAGCTCCTTCAGGGGAAGTGGTTAATAAACCAGGCTGCACTGATGTCCCAGGGCAACTAGTACTCATTATTATCATTGAGAATATAAGCGTAGGCCTGTCACGATAACAATCTAACCAATTTATTGTACGATGTGTGGATATGACCGTTATCATTCGTAAGGTACGGATTTATTTTTTGCTGTATGGGCACTCTATAGGTTATCCACTATTCACAATAGACTTGGATCATTTTTACGCTATCGTACGAAATGGCCTCGATAATTTTTTGGTTATTGATTTATCGTACGATACAGAGATGGAGTACTCGAGTGCCGATTTTCGGGACTCGTGACTTGACTCGGACTCGCGCACTGATTGACGCGACTCGGACTCGTGAATTCTCACGCACGATGACTTGGACTTGGACTCGGCTCGGACACTCCTTGGATGACTCGGACTTGGACTCGAGCAAGTTTTCTCTGGAGTCTGATGTCCTCTGTGTCCTGGCGTGTGCACCTGCGAGGCGAGTTCACGTACTGGGCGCGCCCCCGCTGCTATACCAGTCTAAAGATGTCCAGAGACACACCCCGCATCGTGCTGTATGCTTTTAAAGATTTTGTTTCCATATTGGGAAAGAGCAGTGCAAAATGCACATTATGTGGACAGAAGATAGAAGAGAAGTCTGGGACAACGTCGAATTTCAATCGACACCTTTCACGGCGGCACCCAGAAAAGTAAGTAGAAATGCTATTGTTAGCTTGCCACGTTAACGTTAGCCACTAAATTGACTCCACAAAGGTTTTAAGATGTCGGGTTAGATGGAGGTAGGGGTTGATATCACATCCTAGGGACCAAGTGCAGTTTTATTGTCTAGATAGATACTGTTAAAAAGCTATACATGTCCATACCGCAGATGATGAGTAGCCTAGCCCGCCCCTAGCCTACAATGAACGTTGTAGCCACACTCGCTTCACAGCAGTTCAATAGACACATTAGTATACCATGACAGGATAAAAGCAATGTAGAGGAGCTACAGCTACATTTCAACACATATATCCACTAAGATTAATACATGAAGACTTGTGACTCGGACTTGACTTGGGTGACTCGGACTCGAACACAGGTAATGGTGACTCGGACACTCCTTGGGTGACTCGGACTCGGACTCGACTACGACTCTCCCTAGGTGACTCGGACTCGGACTCGGAGAGTGGGGACTCGAGAGTGACTTGGACTCGTGAATTGGTGACTTGACTACAACACTGGTACGATATATGTGACCCGCTCTATCGAAATCAGTCGGAAGTCGCAACGGCTCATTTCAAAATAAACGTGGATTTACGTAAACAACTATTTTTTCGGGGTTCGGGTGTTTTGTTTGATTTTAAACAAACAAAGTCTTGGCTTTCAGAATATGAAACTTTTATTTCCAAAATCACACGATAAATACATTTTTGAAGCTTGTAAAGGGACGAAGACAGGCACCTCTCACTCGCAATCTGCTCTTCCGCAGCGCCGCCCCCCCTCCCTCCGGCTGACATTATGAATATAAGCGTAGAGTAATCATAGATAACACGGCAGGGTCCGTTACAGTTTGTTTTCATCTGATTTCAATTCAACAAAGTCTTGGCTTTCACAATATTAAACTTGTTTCGGCAAATTCAGATGATAAATACAGCTTTGAAGCTTCGGCATAATTACAAGCGGAGAACGGAGTAATTTAACGTCACAGCAGGCATAACAACAGCCGGTGTTTCTCGTGAGGGTTTTCCCCGGGAAACAAACGCAATACACACAAACGCAAAATTACACAAACACACACACGTATACACACACACTCGCGAGCTTCCCCTCCAAACTAAAATATCTTCCCTCCGTAGTATTTTGATCATTTGCTAATAATCAATCAGATCGATGGATTCCAGAGAAGAGGAAACTTTGAAGGCCTTTTTCTCAAAATGATGACTCGGTGACAGTCGTTATATAATGTGACATATTTCGCTTAATATTTGGAGTATTAAAACAATCCTGATATCATTAGAAAGCTAGGAATCTCTTCTTTCCAACAGTGTATACAATTCAAAATGTGTCTTCGGGTCAAAGCGACTGATTTTTCGATAGAGCAGGTCACAAATGTAGACATTATTTAGATTATTTTCCAAGTTATCATTTTAACTGATGAGCATGATTTTGACGTTATCCATACATCATAAGAAATATGCACGTGACTTTGGATTATTTGTATGTTGTTGACCTGTAGTACAATATATTGACATGGCCTTAATCATTTTTGTTTCATTATTATTATTATTATTATTATTATATCGTCCAGTGTTTCCCACAAATCTGAAATATACTTGCGGTGGTAGCCGAGAAAGGGGGGGGGGGGTGAACTGTTCGCCGGAGCCTCGCAGCGGAGTTAGCGCATAAAGCAGACCCTTCACGCGATAGCAGAGCGAACAGGTACAGCAGGGGTAGTTAATCGATCGCAGATGGCGTCGTGCTCGCGGATGGATACAAAAAGATTAAACCTAAATGGGTCGCGAAATATACTTTGGCGGACGTTAATATACCCGGGCGGCCCGCTCAAGTAAAGTCTATGTGTGGGGAAACCCTGTCGTCATTACACCTTATGGCATAACATGGTCTTAAAATAACAGAAATATTGTTTACTTCAATTATTTCCTGGAGAGTAAAATCATCCAACAGAAGTAGTTATCGTGGCAGGCCTATATGAGCTCCTTCCAATATTTGTATAAAGGTTTAATCTGCCAGACGTCGCGTAGAGCAACACTTTTACTGGGTTGTAATCACAGGCTTTATAACCTAGCTTCAGTGGAAACACCACTCTCACCTCCAGTCAACTGAAGTGTCACACTGAAAGCCAACCAGCCAAACCTCCAGTAGAGCAAAACGATAATATCCTTTAAGTTGTATTAGTGTGGTTTAAAGAGTATTTACAGTCCATGCTACCAGTGATCATTTGGCTCCGCCTCCTCGTCTCATCAGACACTAAAAGTCTTATGGTTACTTCAGTGATGTCGTAATTTAGACCCTTTTTGTGCAAACTGCTGCTAGTTTTCAACCAGTGCCTGTCCAGCAGCTCATCCTGCAGGATAGTGGGAATATTATGGATGTAGTGGTGAAAGTGGAATGTCACGAGAACGCCATGTTGTCCCTTCTCGTCGAAAATCTGGAATCTCAACCTGTTACCGGCTGTTTGTTCTTGTTCTTTATTAGGATCCCCATTAGCACTAGCACTAGCATTTGCATTTGGCTATTCTTCCTGCAGTATGAGCTGCTGAACATATCTTCCTCTCTTCGTCCATCCAGCTTTATCTCCTGGCTCAGGTGTTACCTCTGTCTTCCTCTCCCCCGTTACTCCCAGTGCCTGTTCAGCAGCTCATACTGCAGGATAGTGGGAATATTACACGTGTATGAATGGATGTAGTGGTGAAAGTGGAATGGCACGGGAACGCCATGTTGTCCCTTCTTGTCTAAAATCTGGAATCTCAACCTTTTTACGCCTCTTTTCGTCCATCCAGCTTTTATCTCCTGGCTCAGCTGTTACCTCCCTGTCTTCCTCTCCCCTGTCTTCCTCACCCTTGTCTTCCTCACCCCCGTCACTCCCAGTGCAGCTGCAGGTCTTGAGGGTCCAGGAAGTCTTATTAGTAGTAGTATTATGGATGTAGTGGTGAAAGTGGAATGGCACGGGAACGCCATGTTGTCCCTTCTTGTCTAAAACCTGGAATCTCAATCTTTTACCGCCTCTTTTCGTCCATCCAGCTTTTATCTCCCGGCTCAGCTGTTGCCCCCTCCCTTTTCTCCCCCGTTACTCCCAGTGCAGCTGCAGGTCTTGAGGGTCCAGGAAGTCCGAGGGGATCCCCAGAGGAGTGAGCGCCCCGGCAGACCCAGGAGTTATGTGGGTGAGGTCCAGCCACTCCATGTTGTCCAGGCCCGCATCAGAGAGGGCCAAGTGGAGCGAGGAGGGGGAGGAGGAGTCACAGAAGGAGAGGTCTGAAGTGTCCATGGGGGAGAAGGCCTGCTGCTCCATCAGCTGGGCCTGCAGCTCCTCCATCAGGCCTCTGGTCCTCGGGTCAGACGCCGGTGACGTCTCAGCCAGAGTTTTCTCCAGGAAGGCCTCCAGCTGGTGGTCTGTGGCCAGAGAGGAGAGGCTGGGGCAGAGGGGGGGGGGGGCTCTGGACAGGCGGGGGGGGCCACCTGCACCTGGGGGGGGGGGTCTGCAGACGGCCGTGCTGACGGGGAGCGTGAAGATGTTGGCGGTGACCGGGAGGGTTTTAGAGAGAGACACCTGAGGGTCCTGCTGCGTGAAGGGGGTGATCTCTGGGGGGGGGAGAGATGTGTTATTAGTAAAGTGCCAACATTGCTCCTATAAAGACTGCATACTTTTAAAAATCCAAATCGTAAGAAACATGTCTTCAGGACGGGACACTAAGACTCAGAAACAGATACAAGGCAAGTTTATTTATATAGCACGTGTCTGTGTTTCTATTTTGTTATATCTTGTTATGTCTTCCGCGTCTAATGTTTCAGATCCATGACAACACACAAGACCAGGTGCATGTTGAGAAAAATGATTGTTACAGTTGATGAAGGGGGCGGGGGAGGGGCGTCTAAAGCCAAAGATGAATCTTGATTGGGCCAAATTTGACCTCGAGTCACCCAAAACAATTCTGCTGGGTCTCCCCATGGATGTATAATAAGAACTGGATACAGCGTGGGAGGCGGGGCCTCGTTCATTCCTATGAGAGTTGCTCTTTGCCGCATGAAGACAAAAGGTCCCAACTTTTGAGAGAGCAAAACGTCACGAAAGTATTCATAGAATCCGTTCTTATTGTGCATCCATGGGTAAAGGTAAAACTCATGTAGTACTGAACACGTCACATGAACGGGCCGGGCGGCGCGGTCCCGTGGGTTAGATCCGTGTTCCTAATGCCGAGGAAAATAACTCTCAGAATAACGTTATTAGCACATTTTACAACTTGAGGACCGAATGTTTTTAATAAGGGCTATATAAACGTTCATACTGGGTAGTTTATTTAGTTTAAAAAAAAGTATCCAACGATTTACAGACATCTCTTTCCCAATGTAAGTCAATGGGAAAAAGTGTTTCCAGGCCCAGCGACTGATACGGAAGTGTAGTACCGCCGTTTGGCCACAACGAATATTTTCCTCAGAGTCCGGCGCACTTCCTGGGGGCTTGGGTCTCCCCAGACCCCAACACCAAATGATACCCTTTTTTTTTTAGAGACCTTCAGACTTGGCAAAAATTGTCAAAATCAGTTTTGTAGTGTTTATATATGTGTTAGAGGATATCATGAAGACTGGTTCCGATACAAAAAACTAGAGTGTAGTTATTATATCATTTTAACTTGAAACGGGTCACGGGAGACCCGAACACAACATAAGGGTTACACTGTTAATCCATGAATTAAAAGGTAAATATTACATCCCTTTTAGCTTAATATTGAATATGAATGATCCATTACAATAGCTAACAGTTTAGACCTCTATGCTATGTGTTACAGCTGAATAAAGGAAGATGTGTTTTTACTCAAAGCATGATTTCATTTGTTTGAGCTCCTCATCACTCTTCCCATTAGCCTGTGGTAACTGCAGAGCCTCTGTGATGGTAACCAAGACAACATCAATATCTAAGAGGCCGATATCAGTCATAGTCTAGTCCAGGGGTGCCCAACCTTTTTTGAACCGAGAGCTACTTTTAAAGTTGCCAGTCTGCCGAGATCTACCAGTCCAAATAGAGAGGCGTAGCCAGCCTACTACCAGGTAAATACA